TACATATACATATATAGTTTAGGTATCCTTACGAAAGTGCAAAGGAACTGCTAATATATTGTGCGGCGGTCGGTGTGAAAAAGAGTGCGCCTTGCGTGATGACGGTCGGTGCTTCATCCAGACGGAACGTGAAGACGACGCAGATGCGTGATACAGTTGATACTTGTACGACACGGTCCATTATGCACGTCCCGTTTTATTTCTTACCGTGCTTGGCAAAAGAAAAAGGCGTTCGCAACTACGTTAATTTTTGCTACATATTTTTCCTCACACGCGGCATGTCCGATCGACGATGTCGAGTTACGATGGCGTTTCACTCGCGTTCTTGGATTTGGATTTGCTTTCGACCGCCGTAGATCACTCTGAGGACGATCCGACTGCATCCCGTACTCGAGACTAAAAGTGTAGAATTTTTTAACTGTACTTACGACTATATAACACCTAACCTGTATATTTTTACATATTGAATATAGGGAAGCGAAATTGAGAGTTGACGGGAAAAAGCGCGGGTGAGAGTCGAGTATATATAAAAAAAAGAAGAAGTACGCGATTAGCATAGACACGAGTATACATGTACACATACACACACAAACACATACAAGTACATACACACACGAATTTAATATAAACTTGATAAGATACGCATAATTCATACATCACACGTACACACATACATACGCATACTTGGGCGCAACACGATAAGTATCGTTGAGCCTTGAGGGAGAAAGATATTATACAGGTCGTAAAGGATGAGATCAGTTTTATTGTTGATTTCGGCGTGGCATACAATAAAATTTTGTAATCGGCGGCCCCGAGTTTCGCGCTTTCGCGCTTGGGGCCCGAGAACGTTGCGTAGTATAATCAAACCCCGACATAACAATACGAGTTTTTCCTCGATCAGACTCGGGGCGACACTCGGGGCGATCGGGATCGCCGAAAGCGTAAATGAGCATAATTAAAATCAATCGTGCATGCCAATAATTGAAACCGGATGAGAACGAGAAGATTGTCTTTCGACGGTCCTGAGAATGCGCCACGATACTCGTCGCAGTAAGTCGGAAGAAGATATCTGTATATAGGAAAACTACAACATAGCACAGGGTGTACGTACATGCCGGTGCACACGTAATGTCCTAGCGGAAGTATTAACTATGATAGTGTATGAAAATAATAAGACGTTCGCAGAGCAGGCCAGGCGCTTGATATGGAGGTGCATCGCCCCTTTTCCCCTTCACGACGAATCTCGCCCTCGCAGGGTATGACCCTCGAAATGAGAGAGAAAGAGAGACCGTGCCCCACGGTTATAATAATTGAAATAATTTACGATCGCTACGCTCGCATCTTCAAATCAGATGACAAATCGGACCGAAACGCGTAATACGGCGTAAAGGAAAAAAAAAAGAAAGAAAGAAGGTGAGCAGGAAGTAGCGAGAACACATCTTGGGCACGCTCCCAAATTAAATCCTAGTTGGGTTTTGTATTCCTGTTGTTTAAGAATAACTCTCGCCAATGATAATGCAGGGAATGTGCATTAATAGCTTAATTGATCTAGTCGAAATATATTATTATTTTATTATTCGGTTGTTTTGACAACGTTTACGACAAGGCATAAAGATGCCCTATAAGTTTTATACATGCAACTATATAGACTAGTTTTTTTATTTTAATACAATAATATATTCAGGTACAGAACGGGATATGTTAAAGAAGGGAGAATTTTCTAGTTAGCAATGCTATGAAACAAAGAACGTATTACAATAATTATTTATTACGAGTGAAATAGTATTAACATTTGACGGTATAATACGTTACAAGCGAGTGTGGAAAATTTACGAGTTGATCGAGTAAATAGACGTTGGTTGATTTATTGCTATTATACCATTAAGATTATTATTGTTTAATTATTGTATTACTATTATCAATGCTACTGTCGCTATTACTGCAAATATTATTACAAATAATAATATTAATATCCGGCCAATGGTGATTATTATAATTATTTCGTGACGAATTGTAAAATCGGACGACTGGATCGGACGTAAAAAAAAGAAGTGAAACTTCATAAAACATGCGTGTGGGAAGACGACAACCGTTCGTGAAACTTAACAAATTCGATTCGGTTGCGAGCGTATGCTTGCGAAAAGATAAACGACCGATGCCACGTAGATCAAAAGTAATCGATAAAATGGTAGTTGCGCAAGGTGTGACAGAGCGTTATTAGCATATCAGCGTGTTGAGCTTAGAGTGGCGCGCAGAACAATGAGACCACGCGTGATAATAATATTATTAGTAGCATGTATGCGTTTAGAGAGGAAATGAGAGAGAGAGAGAGAGAGAGAGAGAGAGAGAGAGAGAGAGAGAGAGAGAAGTATGTACAATGGCTTGCGGGTGTTGCGGAGAAACGAAAGATGTTGCACCGAAAGTGCGTTCCTCTGTCAGTGTTAAAAATGCGATGTCACCGACACTGCTATATAATACGAACATATAATATGTATAACCATCAGAGATGATACTAGTGCAACATTTAGCATTAGATTAGCAGTATTGCTATCTATGCATTTTTCTTAAAATTTAATTATTTGACCTGTAATATTGTATATATTACGTATGAAAATGAGCCTAGTAAGTAATTACATGCAAGAGTACGATATCGCACATGATGAAATGAATTGACAGACATTCCAGCATAAGTTCGTATTGCTGCGCGAGGAACGATATCGCAGTGTCGGTAACATCGAGTATCACGAGGATGAAGTTGTAATTTTATAGCGAAGAGCGAAAGAGGAACGAACGCTTGCGTTCAATCGAAATCTCCGAAGATTCGCTGAAGCTCTCAACGGCAGAATTTTTCGTCGAAACGAGAATTGCAATGTGACGTGTATAAATATTTACGTAACGTAAATACATTAGGAAAGGCATGTATTGCAAATTACGACGGATTATTCACTGCATAGCGAAACGTCGAGAAATTCTGCCGACGCCTGTAGAATAAATAGTTATTTGTAAAGTCACTCTATCGAGGGCGAGAAGTAAAATACGAGAAGATGAGCGAGGGATGGAGGCGTGAGGGGCGCGATGCAGGAATGGGAATAGCGTGCGAACGGAAGATATGCCACTTTGAATTATTATTTTCATAAGGAACGTGTAATATAAAATATAATATATATAATATACATATATATATACATATAAATATATATATATCGATATGGATGAATTAACAGCATCATCGGGACTTATGATCGCGACGATGATGATGGTTAATATTATTATTATTGCTATTATTATGGTTATTGATTATGATTATTATGGAATGACGATTATTATTATAACGAGAAAAAAGAAGCTAATGCATTATATAAAAAAAATAAAAGTAATTACACTTAACACTTACGTTAGGAAGCTAGATACATACATTTGATGCAAGCGAGAAAATGGAGTAATCCACGCGTTCGACGAGAAGTCTGTAAGTGACATGAAAAAAAATTAACGTCGTACATTTCTATATCATGGTAGAACACGGGGACGTATATAAAGGACTAATATTTTTTAGCGAACGTCGCGGATATCTACATTTCGTCAAAAAAAAAAATGAGATACGAAATGGGCAAGTTTATGATAAAAAGAAAAGAAAACGTTAAATATCATTGATCTATATAAATCTGTCCTTCATATATATTTCTGTTGAGATGATATATTATGTTAAATCGACGAAAATGGATTCTGAGACGACGTCGTGTCGAATCTGAAACCATGTATCGATGGACGAAAAAGGGTCTCCCGACGTTTGCATTTACGCGCCACGGACGTGTTCCCGTATTCGAACGTAACTTTAAACGATTTGTTTCACCGTTCGTTTTATCTTATGTGAATGCCGAATGAAGCTCGCATACAGATTACATAACTAGCTATTACGGACATGGCCATTAGCAGAGAAATGTATCATTCAAGATAGTTTATCATTAAAGAAACGGTAATCATCATAGATATATTAACGACATTATTTATATTATTACGCATATTATATATAAATAATTGATAACATACTAACCCCCTCTAGGGTGAAGTATTGCGAGGGGGGAGGGAAATGGGAAAGGGGGGAAAACTACGAAAGGGTTGCATCCACATGGGCGCGACGGCGGCGGTGCGTCGTTTTTTTTCGGAATGTCGTCACCGATATGAGAGTGAAAAAAAAAGGATGATGAATAAACCGCCAATTACTTTAACTTCGAGTAATATTATTTGTATATGCCGAACGATTATGCCGTTTTCAGCGCAACATATTTTGGCAATTCTCTTTGGTGATATGGTTCATAGCGATCGTGTTTCGGTGAGAAAGAGATAGAGCGAAAGCGAGAGAGAGTGAGAGTATGAGCGAGCGAGCGAGAGAAAATGAGAGAAAGAGAAGGAGAGAAAGAAAATGGAGAGAAAGAGAGAAAGAAAGAGAAAGAATGAGAAATAGCGTGAAAGAAGATGAAGAAATCGGAGAGAGGGAGAGAAAGAGGAATAAAAGAGTAAACCAAACGAACAAAATAAAAATCAGAAGTTTCTATACTTTTTACGGAGATTGTTATAGTCTAAGCGCACACTGATCAAGGCATTCGTCGCTCGGCAAAAAAACATAATACAATTATTAATATAAAATTTATAACAAATAAAAATAAATGAAGTTAATATGTACACTGTATAATAAACATTATTTCCTATTAATAATTCATGTCTTTTTATTTAATCATCTTTTGCATCACAAAAACGAAAAGCACAGTATCCTGTATTCCAGATCATATATTATACAAAATATATGCTCTATATATTTTTTTACATATACTTTTTGATTACGAGACGTTTTCTTTAATAAATAAGTATAAATCTTATCAATATACATTGATTATATAATCGTATTATATTATCTTCCCAACTACTAGCAATTTAAGACTCTAACTAATGATGATGTGAACACTTTCAACAACGATATTTTTCAACTTATATAATATAAAGTGAAAGACAATTTTTTAATTAAATATCACATTTACTACGTAAACATAGAATTATGCAATGATTCCAAATCCTTCTCTCTTTCTACCGCTCGTTTCTTTTCTTTCCTGTACATTTCATAGTCTTCATCGTCTGTTGGCAATTCGTATCGACAAAGTGGACACGAGTTAGTCTGAAAATACAAAGTTATAAATATTTAGCAATTATATGTAGCAATTAAATCTCCTTGCATATTCTAATTCTGGTTGTAATTATTAATTTTAATAACACGAATTTTAATAACGCAATTTGTATTATTATTTGTATATTATTTTTCTGTATGTTCACTCAATTGATTCTACCTTTTCCAACCATGGTATTATACATTCTTGGTGAAACACGTGCTGACAGGGCATCAATTTTGCTTTACTGCCTGTCTCGAATTCTTTTAAGCAAACAGGGCACTGTTTGTTTTCACTGGATTCAATTTTAATTTCAGGCAAATTAGTCACAGCGTCCTTCGACGCTGGCGGTGGAAGTTCTGTATCTTGCCCAACCAAGTCCCACATGCCAAAATCCCGTAGGAACCGTGCCATTTGAATTAAATGATTCGGCGCTTCTCCATCACTCAGAGGCGTCCAGCCCATCTCCGAGAAATAATCGGACATTTCGTTGCAATTGATACAAAAGTCTGCTTCACAGATAAAACAATGTAATCGATCACATACAACGTTCGTGATGTATGATAATTTCACTTTTATCTTTGGTATTAACAATCAAATCATTGTTTCGTGGACATCTTGTAACATGTAGAGCTATCACTGCGCAACTGTGCGCAACTATATGTCAGTGCGTGTCTGTTAAAAACCTCGATTCACGTGAAAACTGACAATCACAGTCTGGAGCACAGAACAAAAGGATGTTAGAAAGCATTCGATCAACTAAATGTCGAAGCGGATGTTATCGTAACTAAATTGTACATTGACTAGCGCAATATTAATCCTAAACAAAAATTAGTGTTTTAAATTAATAGATATTAAAGGGATTTAATGCATGCGTTTTATTGCAAAGAAGAGTATAAATGAAGAGTATTACTAAAAAAAGGAACACATTTTCCTTCTCATTTCTGAGTAGCTTAATTAGCTACCATAGTCTGATAAAGAAACTCTCTCTATAAACGACAATTCTTTTACTGAAAGTATCGAACAGTATCGGTTTATTAGTAATTGCACTGACTGTTAATTTTATCTGTTGCGTTTTTTAAGGCTCAAATTATTTTAATTCTCATAGTTATAATTTTTGTAATGTATTGTTACGTAATAAATATGTATGAATATAATACAGATAGAGGAAATCTGAAAGAGGACGTGGGGTCTTTTTCCTGTAACGGCAAAATGCCGCCGTGCACTACTGCCCTCTGAAGAAGTGGGTGTAAACTGCACAACAATGTCCATTTTTTTTTTGCGGTGCTCCTGATGGAAATAAATCCCTGAAATCGCTGAAATAACTAAAATTGATCAAATTAATAGAGATTCAGGTTTTTCTCTGCCTGTATTCATAGACAGATCTTATATTTAAGATAATCTTAAATACAATCTTAAGATGTCATGAACCGATCTCTCTAGCTAGAAAAATTAATAATTAATAATCAAATAATATCCTACAAAGACGAGATGTCCAATATCTAAAAATGATTTTTAAAATAATACTTAGAAAATTAAATATACACCTTCGTAACCATATACTTGTTAAAGCAATCATCAAAAAATTATTTGTATAAAATTTTAATTTATTTAATGTAACAAAGAAGGGCTACGAGCCTAAAATCAATCATTTAATATAAATTTCGACTTACGTAAGAAAATAAACAATATAAAACAAAATTTGATACGAATTCTAATATCGACGCTCAATTTAACGAAGTTACATGACTCTTTAAGAAGATTACAAATTTCTTGACCAAAAAATATTCTAATAAAGGCAAAAATAAAGTTAAAATTGTAGTTGTAACGCTTCATCACGCCCGCGTATATATACACATATATATATATAAAATAAATTAAAATAAGTAAAAAGGCTCACTAAATTAAATAATGTAACAAAGAAGGGCTACGATTGTTTATTTTCTTATGTAAGTCGAAATTTATATTAAATGATTTGTTTTAGGTTCGCAGCTCTTCTTTGTTACAAAAAATGTACACACATATTGGGTCATTTGTGATTCAGAGGTGAATTTCGGAGTTGTGCCAGTTAAAGGACGCACGAATTAAGATCGTTAACTCACAAAACTTGTTTTCTAGATGCTAAACTTTTTTTAGGAATAGAAAAGAGATCGGTATTTGATCAGGTGCTCTTAGTATTTCAAAGAAAAGAAATGTGCAGGACACGAATGATCCAAAGGTGTGTATTAAGGGTTAATATATTTTCAATAACGATCTATTATCTGTACAATTATAGATGGTTATTGAAAATATTTCTACAGAATATAATACTGAATAAAACCAAACGTATCACGGAACAAAACCAAAGACTGCAAATGTATTACCTGACGGAAATATCCATGGACATAGTTCAGTGTGTACCTAGAGGTGCCTATAACGATGGTTCCATCTAAAGCGCGGGCATATCCACTCTAAGGGACTGCGCACAATCGAAGGAATAGGGAATAAGGAACAGGAAACAGAGAATAAGAATTGCAATCTATCAGAAACTGTGTATTTAAAAAAAAAATGGTTACTTATAGGTTGAAATTCTTATTCTCTGTTCCCTGTTTCCCACATTCCATTGATTGTACACTGGCCACAGAAATGCCTTTACACATTCAAGATGGATGCGTTTCGGAACACAGTCGAAACGCATACAAGTTGTATGCGTTTCGACTATGTTCCGAAACGCATCGATCTTGAATGTGTAAAGGCATTTCTGTCGATCAGTGTACGCAGTTCCTTAGTCACATCAAGCTTCGCTAAACCTATCTAGATATCTGTCAATTAGTACCACTTCACTGCGCCAAGCAAGACTATCTCTCCTTCACAAAATATTTTAATATAAATTCATTATATATGTTGTGAACAACGTATCCAGTAAGTACACTTTATTGAAAGTTACACGTAAAATAATTGCAAATAATAAATGTTAAAAATTCAAGTTACAATTATGTTTAATTAATATTTTTTTATGATTTAAATTTATTAAAGAAAATTATTATTTTCTATTCTTTTTTTACATCAAATATAAAAAAAATTACACAAAAATAATTTATTATTTTGCGAAAGTTTTGATAGCATCCTGAAAATTATAAGTACGATATTTAATTTAAGTTTTCACGAAAGTAATAATTGTCAAAGGTGTTTTACGAAATACGAAATTATTATTTTATAAATCAGTAATTTATAATGCCGATCAATAATAATTAATTAATCGATAATAATATATGACATTTTATTCAGCAAAAATTAGTTTCATATGCTGATTGATACAAAATCAGGTGTATTAAATCAGTATAAAATGTTTTAAATATTTTAAACATACTTTTAATTTGACAAATATGTAATATATAATGTATGTTTAATGTATGTGAGAAATATAAATAATTTATTTAACATTAATTCTCTTTATACATTGGTAGGATGTAACAATGTAACGTCGCGAATAGAAACATGACATTATCGCTAATTATTTATTATGTAAGTAGAAGAAAAGACTGGGATCAAAAGTAACACAGATAAGTTGTAACGCTTACATAAAAAGATATAAATAAAATACACAAACATAAAGAGGAGATAGAAGTTTGTAATACAAAATAATTATGAACTTCTATCTCTTTCTTATGCTTTTGTATTTTAAACAAGAATAGAGAACGTTCGTTAATTGCAAAGCAATAATATAGGATAAACGACTCAATACGAGCAAATTTAGGTGTTAATATATTTAAAAAAGCATTTAATAATAAGATCGTATAGGGTAGGTAATCCAGCAGTGAACCAGTAGTACACTATGAACCATTGCGATATTTCGTAAATGCGACGTTATCAGATTGCGCTGCTATCATGCAGCGATTTGCATTTGAACCCCTCCTCGGCTCCCCGGTCGGCTGGCCAATCGTGTCATGTAATATCATATTTTAAGAATTTTAGGTTGCAAAGTAAGTTTTTTTCCGTAAGTTTTACACCTTTTTTCATGTTTTTATTGTTATATCTATCATTTTTTTCATTGTGCAATAGTTTTGTATGCACATTTGACTTTATTATTCTGTAAACAACTTTTTTCTATTGTGTTATGTTACCGCATTATTTTTGAGATTATCGTGGAAAAGGTGATCTACAATGAATCATTTTGATGTAGTGAACAATGAACTATTGTTCATTGTAGACCGCATAATCTTTTTTTACAATAACTTTCAAAATAATAATTCATTATAGTAATTATTTATAGAATACAGCCCCTCCCCCATCTAAAATCTTAATAAAAATATACTCATTCGTTTTCACTCAAAACGAAAGAATCTGACAGAAAAACGCGACGGCCTCGTGAATCTTTATCATTTTATAATTATCAATTTTCTAAATATTTAAAAATAAACATTTTAAAATATAGCAAAACTAAAATAATCCCAACAATTCGCAGTGTGAAATATGTGGTTCATTATTAAAAATGATTTATTATGTATACACCCCTTATGCACAATGAACTTCCCATTTTTTAAAATAATTGAAATTGTGGCTAAACTTAAAAAATAACTTAAGAGTTATTGTTTATAGTATGTAGCCAACTAAATTCAGAAACTGTATGGCAAAATTCATATCTTCAACTCAATAATTGAAAGATATAAGCCTCTGAAATTTACATGGTTCATTGAACTACTTACCCTACATGAGTTATCCTTGAGATTTGCCAATAATAAGAGACCAAATGAAATAAAGATATATAAAAATTTATTCTCGATTCTTTACTACATTTTTACCAAAAAACTCTTCGTCAAAATTCGACTACTCTTTTTTTCTAAAAACATTGACTTAACGTGATTCTCGTCGCTTAACAATGAATTTGTTATTATAGATTTTACTACTTGACGCTTTACTGCTCACTTTTATTATTGAACATGAAAGATTACGTTCCACAAATCATCATTTCATAATTCGACAAGATTTTGTTTGTTTGGTTGACTACTGGCTTCTTATTGTTAATATTATTTGTAAGTTATGTATGTTTAAAAAATTAATTTGTTTATTATTCATCGTTATTGTAAAACTGAAGAAGGCTCTGTAAGCTAATACGTATGTATATAATCTTATTAAATTATTAAATGCTTTTTTAAACATATTAACGCCTAAATTTTCTCGTATTTTGTCATTTATTCTATATTATTACTTTTGTATTTTGTTTATAATGTTTATAATGTTTTTGCAAATGTTATGACTTACCCGTGTCACTTTTGACCCGAATTTCCCGTATACAAAGATCAAAATTTTTTAATATACAGTTATTGTCACATTGATTAATTATATATAATGATTTCCTTCTTGTATTTCTAATATGAATTTATTAAATCAGTCATTTCGTGCTATATATTGATGCTTATGTCACTGGGCGTTTAGATATCATTATCGCAATCAGATATCATAATTGACAAATCAATGTTGTAATAGATTGCAATATTTAAATAATAAGTATCAAATGAAAATCGATAGATAAGATTACCAACAATATTAAGTAAAAATCAATATATGAGATAAACGCACATGAGTGAAAATGCTGTGTTTGGTCAAGGCGATTTTTCATATACCTAATAATATTGTTTGTGAATTTATACAATTTCCAGTTCAAGCAAACTGTGAGCCAATTATTTATCGGTCTTGAAATGCAGTCCTAAACCGAAGCTGGAGTATTAATATTACGATGCAAATAAGCACCTTAGAAAACTGTTAATAATTTCATGCTAATAATAAGCATCTTAAAAATTGTATTATAAATGATTATCAACAGTTTTCTAAGATACTTATTTGCATCAATAATATTAAATTGCTTATCAATTTAATTTATAATATTACTACTCTAGCTTCGGTTTAAGACTGCGTTTCAAGACTGATAAATAATCGGCGCACACTTTAAACTTAAATTGTATAAATTTTCGATATTATTAGGCACAAAGAGCTGATTTGACCAAACATGGGATTTTTCACTCATATGCATTATTTAACATGATTAATGTAATAAATCTATAATGATACACAATATTAATGGCACAGGAAAACCGTATTTAGCGATAATGTGGTATAACGCAGAGGGAATTATCTTTGTGTGGCTGTTATGCGTCCAGTCAATGATAACGGCACATGACCAGAGTACTTGTTATCTGCCAAATCGTTTAATTCAAGAGATAGACTCCTATGCGCCAGTAGTGCAGAGAATAATCGATGAAAGTATGCAAGGTTCATTTAAAGGAACTACATGGCAAGATTTGGCAACGTTTGTTGACAAGTTTGGCCCGAGATTGACCGGTACCCAAGTTCTTGAAGACGCTATTGATTACGTTTTGAACAAGTCGATCAGTTTAGGTTTAGATAATGTTCATGGCGAGCCAGCCATCGTACCACACTGGGTCAGGTATAATTCATAAACGCACATTAAAATTAAATAATTTTAAAATAAAAAACAAGCGCGATGATTATGATAATAAATCTAGAGGTTCGGAATCAGCAACTCTTTTGCAACCACGGCAGAAAAATCTGGCGTTATTGGGACTGGGTTATAGTATTGGAACTCCGGAAAGAGGCATAACTGCTAACGCTGTCGTAGTGAATAGTTTCGCAGAACTCAAGAAAAGGGCAAAAGAGGTAAATTTAACGAATAAAAGATCGAGACGTAACATATTTTTGTCTTTAATTACAATAAAGTAACTGTTAAATATATTAGATTCCTGGAAAAATAGTCGTATACAATCAAAAGTTTGTCTCGTATGGAGAGACCGTGGAATATAGAAGCGTGGGAGCTATAAGAGCAGCAGAATTGGGAGCTGTAGCTGCATTAATCAGATCAGTAACGCCATTTTCATTGTACACCCCGCATACGGGTATGATGAATTACGCAGAAAACGTTACTAAAATCCCAGCTGCTTGTATAACTGTCGAAGACGCGACTCTTCTGAGAAGGATGGAAGATCGAGGTAAAAAGAAACACTTCTTAAGATCTTCGCTAGAAACAGATAACTGATGGCATTATGTTTATTTAGGTGAAACGATAGTGATAAACTTAAAAATGGAAGCGAAGAGATATCCCGATACTCAATCGCGAAACGTTATAGCGGATATCACCGGCTTTAGCGCGCCTGAAAAAGCAGTCGTCGTTTCTGGACATATAGATAGTTGGGATGTTGGAACAGGTGCAATGGATGATGGAGGTGGCATTTTCATATCTTGGAACGCATTAAAATTGCTGAAATATATCGGTATCCGGGCGCGAAGAACGATAAGGTTCATAAAATTTCAAAATATTTAATTTAACTGATTATTGATATATAAGATTAATTATATATATTTTCTGTAAACGTCTTGTTATATACAGCAAATTATTTATATTATATATTTAAAATTTACATTTGACAATTTATATTATATATGGTATTATATATAGAATGATAATGTGGACTGCCGAGGAATTTGGTTTGCTCGGAGCGGAGCAATATATACGGAATCACTCTGCAGAGAATGAAGATATGCAGTTCGTGATGGAATCTGATTCCGGCACTTTCATGCCTACAGGTCTCGAAGTTTCAGGAAACAAGTTAACCCAATGTATACTTCAGAGAATAATGCGGTTAGTTCGTTTATAGATTTTTAATATTTTGTTTTCGTTTGATTTATATTTATTATTGTAATTATAAAATATTAATTTTTTTATTTGTTATTCACATTTAAAAAAAATTTTTAAGTTTAAAAAACATTTATTGTTTTTATAACTGAATTTTTATATTTAAATTTATATATGGTAAATAAATTTATTATTTTTATAATTATTTTTATTATTTAAAATAAGCATAGACTCTTTCATATTTCTAGATTGTTAGCTCCGTTGGGTGACTTGGAATTGAAGAGCCCATGCACAGGTCCTGATATATCGTTTTGGATTAAAGCTGGCGTACCAGGTGGTTCTCTTTTAAATCGAAACGAAAAATATTTCTATTATCACCATTCAAACGCAGATACCATGTTGGCAGAAAATTCAAAAGCTCTGGATATGAATACAGCCTTATTCGCAGCGGTATCATTTATTCTAGCAGATATCAGCATTGATCTGCCTGACAATTTCACTAGCGTATAGTATCCATTTGGTGACACAAGTCAATACAATAAGTATCGTTCTATTTTTGTTACTTACTGAATGTCAGAAAGACGGAATCATGATGGAAAGAAACTCAGGTGTGCTCTTGCACATATATTTTTAACAGTTAATGAGAACGTAACACCATATACCGCCACATGCCAGAACCGTACAAAATTCATCTCGAAAACAAGCCACTTGATCAGTTTCTTCCGCACCATGGAATGCTTGTGTTGATTTGTGTCTCCAAATGAAAACCACCCATCACAGACAATATCACATGGTAATGATATATTCACGGTCAGAACGCATGTTAGTATAATAGTATGTTAGTATGATGTCAATGATGTACTTATCTTATATATTATGTGATATATAATATGTCGCTCAAGATTTTTCTATCCGTTTTATTCGCTTATTATTATATTGTTATCTACTGACTGGCATTGTAACATTATAACTTGCTGGTGCCTTGCCATTTGCTGTATGTATTTACATTGCAATAAATAATAATAATAATAATAATACATGTGTATACATGAATTAAAACAAGAACATGAATTAAAACGAGAAATATGATCTTAAATTTCGAATTGTTTTTTTCTTTCTACCATATCTTATTTCTTTCTATTACATGGCAGTCAGCAGTTTAGGTTTAAATATATATAGAAGCCTGTGGATGGATATGTAAATTACTGAAATTATGTATTCATAGAGTGTTTTATTTCAAATATGCCTGTATATACAATCACAGCATATAAACGATTAGGCCTACGACAATGCCTAGACTAAACTCTTTAAAAGCATCGAAATGCAAATGTGATCAAACGAGCTAGATTTTATGAATCGCTTTCAATTTGATCTCTTTGCTTGCTTAACAATCTCATTAAAAGATTTTTCAAAGACTATTCAAAATATACTATATCGCGGCTACTTCACAAAAATGCTAAAATTAATAGAATACATATGTTCCACAAAGTTCAATTTTTGAGATATATAGCTTCACTTTCTCGATTTGCAATAAAACAAATAAATTGTATTAAAGTATAAAAAACATTTTTGTGCTAAATTACAATGAGATACATAAGGTTTTCATTAATCACGGAAGATTTAAGAATTAAATAAGTTCAATGATCTTATAATCTTTCACATATCATTCTCGATATTTAAATATTATTTTGAATTACCAATTATCTTAAAATTTTTGTTTCTGGTTGTATGAAATTATCAGTCTCAATCAAGTATCAATGAATATTGTGATTTATATTAATGTATCTTCGTCCTGATTTGGAAAGACCATCAATAAAGAATGCTGAGAAGTCGTTCTCTGACTTGAAGTTAACAGAGCGGTTTTCTCGCCTCCGCTGCCATTCATCGAGCAATCTGGAGAACTGCCGTCGAAAGCTATGTAATTGGTAGTCGTGCTGCTCGTAGATGGCATGTCATTTAGATCTGGTGAGGCCAAAGGCGGAGCCTGACCTGGACGAGCATTAGTACCGTCCAGTGATACGATCTGCATACTATATGACTCACGATATCCAGATGTACTAGATGTGTCTTCATCCCAGGACACGTCTGACATCTGAGGATGCACGTGGTGATGAAAGTAGTGACAATGATGGTGTTGATGGGCCGCTCCATGGAAATGCTGCTGGTCCGCAGGCACGTTGGAGTTTTTTTCTCCGTCCGATTTGCGAATAGACTGACTTCGTCTGGAACGAATGGATGAGGAATTAGATGGGATGTTAGATAGAGGCGGATCCACCGCTGATGATGTCTGTCCTGTCGTTTTCGACATTTGACTAGTTGGTTGTTGCACGAGGGCTGCATCCAATTGCTCCAACTTTGTCTGCATCGTCTGGAAGATAATATTCTATGTCAGTAAAGTAGAGTTTAACGTACTAAACAATCAATTAAATTATAATCAAAAGTAAAATTACGATGATAAAACTATCGAGAAGCTGTATGTAAAACTAAAAAATTTTATAACTCAATAATGATTGGAAACTTGAGACCGGGAACACTGAAAGAAACTTATGTAAATGTTATCACCTCAATGTGACTCTTTCGACTTTTTCTTAAGCGGAAGGTCTTCTTGCTTTGGCCCATAGAACGTTGTAAGCGAGGCTTGTCGGTACGTAATTCTCCGGAACTGTCTTCGGCTGGACTGCTTGGACTTAGCTGGCCCGTCACCGTCTCCCCTGGCGGGACAGTCGACGATCACACATGTCGCGTCTACCGTCTTATTCACGAATTCTACTCTACGATTCATCTACTCATGCTCCTCTTTTTTGAAGTGTATGATTCAAGATTGTTTTTGAAGTGCGTAGGAAATATTTTACAATCGCGTCCTGTGCTTGATGTAACATGGCACTATGTACATCTCTAGTACAAAGTAAGTTTTTAGGATTATAAATATATTCTATTTTATAATTTTTGAACATTCTTAGACGTGTGACTCTTGACAGAGATTATACATTATATAAAATAAATTAGGGGTGTATTTTTTATGGAATCGAGTGACATTTAGATCGATTATTGATTCTGAAACAAAATATTTCAACTTTGATATTTAGAGAGAATGTGCCTGTATTTGAGAAATTGAAATGTTGTGTCCATGCCCATAAAAACACGGATGAATATAAAAAGATCAGACATTGATTAAAAATGATTACTGTACAGAGAATGTTTTATATAGATTGACATATAATGATGGAGAGATTTTATTATACGTGTAGAATACGGTATTGCACGTTAAAAGTCGGAATTAATATTTTTATAGAAAATGTTACAGTGTCAGTTACATGCAAGCAAGATTGTATTTGCGAACAAAACAAATTATTTTAATGTCGCTTCGAAAGTGACAATGTGAGAATATTGTGATTACATATGCACATGTTACATGTCCGCGCATTAGATACCAGAGGGAAAAATGTTATGTCAGAGTTACACAAGAAATTTCTTGCAAATTGATAGAATTAATTAAATATAAAAAAGAAATAGAAACAGAACTAGAAATAGAAATAGAAATAGAACAAAGCAGTCATTACATTATGTGTTAAACGTAATATTTGAATGCTTCTATATTCTTAAATTATTCTATTCATTCTAGAAATATAAGTTCTATTTTTTGGCAAAAATGTTAATGATGTAAATAATGGCAATGTTGTTTCGGTTAATTAATAAATAAAACCTAATGCAATGCATAATTAGCTTTCGTCTTACTTTAATAAACTAATTAAAAGCATAACTTATAAAGTTTAATCAAAACTTTATCAAATTTACGTTATGGGTTTTACTTCATGCAAAAGCTCAACTAAATCTGCAAAATCTAAACTATGAATTTTAATCTAAGTAATTTAATTTCTAAGTAATTTCTCAAATTTAATGTATTGATGAAGAATGATTGTTGTATAACATACAAAAATGAATAACCGATGTAACTAAAATAGATGTAACAAACGAAAGAAATATTTTCTACGATCTTGTGTGTGTGTGTGTGTATGTGTGTGTGTGCATTTTTCTTGGATTTTTGTTTAAAGCTATCCGTTTAAGAAGAACACGATAATGTCATGTTATTAATGAAAAATAGTTTATATTTGTGTGACATGTCGGTATTACTGCAGATGAATTAATAAAATTGTAATTCCAAGTATTTTCAAAGTCAAATTTTTGATCGATTAATTTGATCAAAGCTTTCAATTTTTGAGAATGAAGACTAAAGAAAAGTTCAGTCTTCTAGAATAAATCTCTGTAAATTTCTTCAATAGATTAATTTTTGCAGTAATATTCAGATATTATATCAAGTTGGGAGAAGGAGATGAAGTCTTTCGAGGGACATGTTAATCAATATGTATATCATGTATAAGCTAAAGCGGGGACAGGGATTTACCTGATGAGTTTCTAAACTCTACGGAAGAGACAAAGCGCAGCTTTGGCGCCTTTTGGTGAGGTAAGATAGAATGAAGCTTAACATGGTTACGTTCATCGCTAGTAGAAGATGATTGGAATCTATCTGAAACATGCCACATCGAACGTCTAATATGAGGGGAGGGATAACAAGTAAGACAGACCACGATAGTAATCATCGTTGATACGTTGTTCACGATCGTACATCGTGTCAATGTTGCACACTTCGAACCTGAGTCTTGGGAATATTGGTTAAGTGTAATTGATACGATAAAGTGTAATGCCTTAATGATTTTGCTGAAAATAAAGTCACCTGAATTTATAGCTTATGAGCGATTCATGAAATTTCATATAAAATTGTGTTTCTCGATGCATTTTCAAATTATATGAGTAATGAAATGATATTGCATCCTGATCTCATGATCTTATAATCACAATTTTACTTGATAAAAATGGTAGATGGTGGCGTAATGAAAATTCCAATTAGACAAAATATTACAATATTAACATACGCGCGATTAGTTACATGAATTGCTGTAAACACCTATACGATGTTGCTTCGATTAGAAAAAGTATATTAATTGATACTTTGTATTATAAAGAATGCCAGAGCAAGCACTAATAAAATATTTCAAAATGAAAGATTTTCGTGATATCTGAAGAATTTATTGAAATCAATGTTGAATGTGTCCTTTGGACTAAGAAAGCTGTTGGAATTGAGTGTGTCGATATGGAATTGTCGATACCGATAGATGTTGCCGTCGTGTTAACTGTGAAAACAATTAATGACAGTTAGTTTCGTGCTGCCGAGTAAAGGAAGAAAGCGACAGAACATCGAAGCAACTACGTAATAGAGAGTGACTACTCAACGATTAATAGGGTACCAACTGTTGGACATTACCATTGTCTAAATACTGCTATATAATAAGTTCCTTATGAGTTTGCGTATAAAACGTGATGACAGGAGACGATAATAGAATATCAGTGTTCTAAAAGAAAATACCGCGAAATAAGATTGCGTGCTCTACAATTTTTTAAGAACTCTTTATATTATCGTGCAATAATATTTTTATACAATTTTTACGATTTGATGCTTAATTGTTATATTTTAATTACATTATAATTTGTCTAAATCATTATTTAATCAATCTCGTTTCACGGTAAAAATGGACTAAGGAGGCAACAAGAAGTGGACGAAGACCGAGGTAGGCGACGCAAGAAACAGGACGAGCGATCGATATGATCAAAATTACAAAAAAAGTGTTAAGCGTGAGAGGGGCACACACCAGCAGGATATATATTATAGATCGTGTTAGAATTGATTGAGTTGTAGAATCGGTCCGCTTACCTCCGTTCCCTAGCTAGCAATGGAAGTAACGTAATGATCAATGTGTCAA